TGATTGACACTTAGTATCTACCCAGGAACGACGCGAACACACATGAGAAATTTTAACGCACGAGCGTTTAGCAATACCCGACATCGATAACGTCGACCCGACGAATGCAAAGAATAAATGTCAGGGCCCCAGCTGGAATCGAACCCAAGCATTTTGCGTGGCAATGAAGCATTTCACCACAGAGCTATATACGCATGATCTCGGAACTATTTTTCAAATAGACGCTAATCTTCGTGAAACGTCAATAGTGGTTGCAGTGCTGCCTACCCAATTTTATAAGCATTACATATGTACTCCTTCGATACAGTCGTCACGTCGGGTTAACGTCAATTGTGGTTAGGTGCCATGCGCTGAAGTTTATTCATGTAGCAGTATCCAGGGCCAGCATCAGCTCTTCATATTAGCTTCTGGTTTTGCTGATACGCATGTGCTAGTTTACATCGTTGCGCAAGCGCAAAATATTAGTTATATAAACATCTGCAACCCTTTAACATATGTCTGAGCGTGCAACATTTGTACATATATTTAGCGTCATTTCATGACGTGTCGCTCAACAAAAAAAAAAATGCAACACGCCTCACCTTCCCTCCGCATACTTCGCATAACGTCGTTTCTCAGGTACGTGGGATCTGCCGAACTTTTCGGAGCAGATTTCGGGATAGAAAAAGTAACAGTTTGAATGAGTCGTAAGTTTTAGCTGAGCCGCCACAATGCTAGTTTGAAGCAGAAGGAGCAGAAGGGAAAATATGCTACACAACTCCAGAAGTTCAAAGCAGTGTCAAGACGACTCATAAACACTAATACTTCTTACGAAAGCTATTCGCAGAAAAAAAATCAATGGAAATTACAAGAAACGAAGAAACAAAAAGGCGGTTTTACGAATGTGCCGTGAAATGAGATATATGTATCCAAAATACTATTTGTCGCAGAAATGACATAAAACCGGTAAATCTGAGTACCACATTACAGAAGCAACAACAGTCACATATACTGTCGCTTAACCGGCAGTTGACAACAGCTATGAGATCAGCGCAATCTTAGTCGTTTTCGCATTTCACCAAAATAGCTTGCCTGCATGTCAAATTTGGGAAAAAAAGACAGCTAAATGAGCTACATATGCTTGTGGTTTCATGTGTGCAACCACTATAGTGGTTGCACACATGAAACCACAATGGTACTACAATGATAACATGCAGATTATTTTCGGTTTCTTTGGGGAGTTTCCAAGTTGGTCAGACCATTGAAGTGCCCCGTCTACATTTTTCTCAGCGCTGTTTCGGAGTCAGGTTTGGCGCAGTTGCAAACAAAGTTTGGAGCAGCATGTAACAACATTTCTCTTTTGGAGCAGTTTGGAGGAGCACTTCAATGACTGCGTGGCCATCGAAACGAACACAAGGACTCGAATTAGTCGTGGCAAACCAAACGCCACTCACCGAAACGACACGGCACTACTAACTGGACGCACATATACAAAGAAAACGAAGGACAGATAGAGAGAATGTCCGTGCAAAGAATTGACTGTAGTTTAACGAAAAACTGAAACCTGAATACAGACACTTCGCATCTTCCGAAGCGACGCAGGCTACGTACGGAACACGTCGTAGTGAGGGGATCAGCTAGATAATCCAGAATACCTGAGGTTCTTCAGTGTGCACTGCAACCGACATCCTAAATACACATAACTATGAAACTAACAGGCAAATTATAGAAGCATTGCTTAAGTACACTTGACTGTGGCACTAGATACATTTCTTGAAAAAAAAGGGGGGGGGGGCGGGGGGTGCAGAAAAGAAAAATTGAAGCGCCGATCGCTTCATACTATATATAACATGGCGGTTACGTGGGCTAGTAAACTCTCCGACTCATTAACCGAAAAAGAACTCGCATATGCTTTCGTAGCACATGCTGCACCGTGGTAACTGGTCGAGCTCGCGTAAAAGTGCGCAGTCTCAGACGTCGTTTCGATAAGCTCCTTGTGTTTGTTCTTGTTTGCCGTTCCTATAAGATAACTGTTGGGGTATTGCACATGCTATACCCCGGACATGATTATTAAGAAAGACGCCGTGGGATTGATTGATTGATATGTGGGGTTTAACGTCCCAAAACCACCATATGATTATGAGAGACGCCGTAATGGAGGGCTTCGGAAATTTCGACCACCTGGGGTTCTTTAACGTGCACCCAAATCTGAGCACACGGGCCTACAACATTTCCGCCTCCATCGGAAATGCAGCCGCCGCAGCCGGGATTTGATCCCACGACCCGCGGGTCAGCAGCCGAGTACCTTAGCCACTAGACCACCGCGGCGGGGCAAATCTACTGCACTTACACGTAGTCCTGTGGGTGATAATGTCGCGTCAACTTACGGAGATCCGGGCGCGCACCGCCGAAGACACCCTTCCACCAGCGTTGGTGCACACGAGCTCGCCACCACATTCGTGCAGGGACCACGCTGCAGCCCCGTTCACGGGCATCAAGTCGGTCCGAAACCAACGCTGACGCAAGAACAGGGACATGCTAACAGCCGTCCTTCAACGACTCAGCCGGGAAGAGTTCCACTATGCCACATATATAGTCTGTGAATCAGCACGGGTCCAGTAAGCCACTACACACACACACACACGATAACGTATAGTCTATATATCACCACAGTAGAGTTGGGGCTAAGTTGGAGCCGCCACGAATGCTGAGGCCTCTGGAACCAACGTGTCGACAAGCGGTCTTGTCTTGCCTTCCGTCGGGGCAGCGAACTTCGCGAGTATATGCGTGCCCTTCCTATTCTCTCTCTCAACCAAGACACCACAGAGTCACACTGGACTCGTACCACGAGCAAAGCGTCCCGGGCTTTTTGAAAGCGTGCTAGGATAACTAAGTCAGCTACCACAGAAGACTTCCGAAAGTCTCACGGCAGGTTGACGCGCTCGTGGCCAAACGTCCTGAACGTCAGGGACATCTTCCAAACCAATATGCATCCACGCATACGCGTGCCTATGCCAAAATGTTTAAAAACTTGTCAGATCATGCCAGACCGTTACTTGTCGATATCACGCACCAATGCCAGAAGGTCTTTAAAGATCCTGAGAACCAAAATGCGGTCCTATTCGTTGCCGCGGCACGCAAATCATTCACTACAAGTACCGATGTATATCTCAAGGGCAACTTTCGGGGATGTCAGAAGGAACCACCGTCAGATGCCTCGACGACGCGATACTGCAGTGTTGAACAGCAAAATAGGACTTCCCACGCTGGCCTTCAGAACACTTTTCTTCCAAAGTCGATATAGGTCGAAACACGAATTCGCACAACACAGTACGTTGGAACGCAGGAAAGTAGTGGCAATAAGCTTTGAACCAGCTACGTGACAAAACGGCGTCATCAACTGCGCGCAGTAGCGAACAGGTCCTCAGAGCACATGGCCCCCAGTACATTCCATCAGAAAGCACACTTCTTTGGTCCTCGAGTGAATGTGCGGTGCGTATACACGCCGTCTACAGTGGTGGTGGTAGAGATTAGAAGAAGAAGGCGCATAATGTGTACAGCCCGGTTGAGAGCACGGCGCAGCGCCTGGCCGTCAACAGTGGAAGTGACAAGCCTGCAGAGGTCTTGTATACCATCCTCCTCTCCGCGTCTGCGCCAGGACTGTATAGGCGTGACAAGAGAGCGTTCCTTCTTGTTTGCGTGCCTGCGGTTTCTTACTGGTTTTCTTAGCTGTACGGCCGCGTCCAGCGATCCGTAGCTTCGCGCTATGCTTTCCTCGACACGGCTCACGCAGACCCAACCCCCCCCCCTTTTTCAAAAAAAAAAAGACGCGCAGTAGTGGTCGAAACGATGTGTGCAGGCACGCCAGTGGTAGAAGCGTAGCGATGAAGAAGCGTCCCACTGCGTGGAAGTTAAACCGAGAGCTCTATAGGCTAATCAACGGAGCGTTCGTCCGACGCCCACTGCCGACCCACTGGATCGTGCACCCACCGTTGCACGCAAGGGCATCGGCTTCGAGGAATGTGGTCGACGGTGCCGCACTCGCATGCTGGATATGTGCTCCATAGTTAACGGGGTAGCTTTATACCGGCGCCTCGGAAAACGTTGATTGATTGATTGATTGATTGATTGATTGATTGATTGATTGATTGATTGATTGTGCCAGTAGTCTGAGTAACTCGCTTGCGAAGTGTGAAACCAGCGCTAATTAAGCAAAGAGGACGGGGCCTCAAGCCATCTCCGTTTCGTTTGATAGAAGGGGGATGGATCGAAGCTCCCAGCAATACGAAGCCAACATTATGAAGCCATGGGAACCACGCGGAGCCCTACTTAAGTTGAAAAAGCTTCAAATAATGCCCTGTGAACTTTTCATCGCTTCGCCACAGGTGTTTTCTTCACAAAGGACAGAAAGACCAGACGTACATAGAGCGACATTGTCCTAGTATATTGTCCTGAAATACCAACACACCCAAAGTAGCTGTGCATTTGGTCATGGGGAGCGCCACCACCAATGCAATCAACCGACAATAAAAAGAACAACACGGATTTCGCCTTCGAGTCGTCATAACAAAATGCATAAGAAACTATGCGAGTTTTTGAAAAGGAAGAACCCACTATGAAATACTACAGAACACACACACACGCATGCATGCACCAATATTGCCCCGTAGTCGAGCCCATTCATCCAAAAGTGGCACACATAAACCCACTTTGTTCACTTCCGTAAATGCCCCGTTTCAAAACTGCGCCTGTACAATGAGCATTCATTCGACGGTGTAAATACCATGGGCTCGCTTCCTTGTGCTCAACACGATCTAATGAAAACCAACAGATACTGAACCTAAGAAAGGTATAAGGTAGATTACCTATTTATTTTAACTCTATACAGTATAGTAATTAAGGCACAAGTAGGAGCGGGTGGGAAATCAACTTGTCGCAGGCATAGGGACCGAATGTACCACATTCGGGCGACGCGTAAGAACAGTGTTACAAGAAACACTCGCTCGCTTCGCAAGACTTACGCGGAGGCACTGCTCGCACAGGCCGTCCTTACGGGGCCTGTCGTCCCGCTTGACCAGGATGCTGACCGGAGCCTTGGGCACCACGTCGGGGGCTCCGGGCGCCTTCAGTATCACGTCCGGCGTCACCGTCACCTGCCAGTTGCGCTTCCAGTTCCCGCACGACACCTGGCTGTACGGCACGTCGGCCAGCACACGCTTCACCTGAAGCATCGGCATGACCGCAGTAATCCAAAAAAAAAAAAAAGGCACCCAGGCGTCGTATCAGAAGAGGTTCACGCGATGCAACCGCCGCGATCACTTGTAACGAGGTCTCGGCACCATAGAGTCACGATAACCGTTGACGACAGAACAGTTGCGAAGCAGGGGGAATTTGCACACCGAACTCTTGTTTACTTACTCCTTGGAGGGTCGTAACTGAAGAAGCACGAAACTAGCTGATCACGCGATGAACATCGCGTCGACTCCTTTAAACGCAGGCTTACTGGCACAGTCACTGTGTGGAGGCACAAACACTGAGGTCAGTGACCTCTGATGCGATTTCCGCACGCACCACACACGCCCAAGGAAACCTTGTTCAGAAGTGATATTGAACTTGTAACAGTCACACCATCATGTTTCTTCAAGAAGAAGTGAACTGAGATTGTATACTCCAGTATTGTTGAAAATTCAGTCGCTTGAAAGCTTCTTAAAAATAGCAAGGGATATTACACCATGTTAGGAGTCGGAAATCCCCGTGGAAATGCAATTGGTATACAGGCGTTGCAGGTTATGTCTTGGAAGGAATGCGGGATGCCTCACCACGATGGGGCTCTGAAATCTCCGATGAAAGAGAAGTACGATATCGGAGTAGAAGTGACAAGTGTCGAACGTCCAGCGAAGATTGCTTCCGACGGCGAGTGACGGCCACGCGATTCCCACCGGTAAATGTAAAATGAATGCCGGGCCAGAAGTCTCCGACGAAGTGGCAGCATTTGTCGATCCAGGAAATTCCCGAAGCCTCGTCGGACGTTTGAAGAGTGCAACGAGCGGCCTAGTCTGATGCACTGGATCCGAAGAGATGACACAAGTAGTGAAAAAAAAAGAAGAAAAAAAACGGATCGCACAGCTCTGCTACGCGTTCGCCTTCTCCCGCTTAACACAAAGGCGTTTTGCCTTTCACTCGGTTGGAGGTCGTCTCTGACAGAAACCACGTTTGGGTCAAGAGAAACCACACTTCGATTCCACTTGCGTCACCTTGAACGATGAGGCCGAAAAAAAGCTGGCACGGACCAAAGAACGGGTAAGCCCGTCATACAATCACAGTGAACTTCCGGTAATCCGTTCGCCCCTCCCGGGCGAGAAAAAGCCAAATCTGGACGATCCTCCGGCGAGAGACGAAGATTTACACCCTCATATTAAGCAACAAACAAACAAACAAACTGAAATGCCACCCGGAAATAGAAACGCCGAAAGGGGATTTGGTTTCTTGCCCAGGCTTTAACTGCCAAGATGTGAAGCTCGTGAGGTAACAAAACAAAAAGGACAGTGCGAATGGGCGATGGAGAAAGGAAAAGCTTTAACGCCGTTAGTGTGGTGCGAAATAAGCATCAAAAAACGAATTTGTTTCAAAGGTCGTTGGCTCACCCTACAGCTGTGTGGACGCTTCGCCCAGCAGACAGCGCGCCCGCGACTTACAGAACCGAGATAGGCGGAGACTCGAGATCGCGTTAGTAGCTGGGCACGGATGGAAGAAGCTAGAAAAAAAGAAATGCGCAGAGTTTCTCGCCTCTCGGGCGAGAACGGTTATAAAAGAAAGAGAAAATAGAAATCTCAGGAACACGAGGACGGTCGGGGAATTCCGTCGCCCTCGCCCGCGCGCTTTTGCTAATTGCCGGTAGAAAAAAAAAACGGCGAGAGGTGTGGATGGAAAACGAAGCCAGGAAACTGCGAAAACAAGACTAAAATACGAAGCTAAAGTTTGCGAAATGCCGAGCTACGCGAAAACAAAAGCACGAATGAGGAAACCTAACACGAGTTGGTCGAGCATGGAACGCCCGCTTCTGGTTAAAGTCGGCTAGTCGCGATACGCACCTTCCGCACGAGACTACCAACTCTCTCGCCTCGCGTTCGAAAGTTGTACACTCTCGAAACCTGTACACCCCGGTGTGTTCAATGTACGCCACTCTGTACACTACGCACCACTCTGTACACCCCGCTCTGTGCACTGTTGTACACCCCACTCACGGGTCTCGTGCACCGGTTGCAACGACAATGCTTCCAGCGGGATTGCACACGCACCACAGCTCAAACCATAAACGCAGCCACTCGAAACTACTGCACGAAAGAGACTGCTGTCCGCAGCTAGCACAACCAACTCGCTTATCCTTTCAGAGTTTTTTTTTTTTTTTTTTTCAAGTCGCAAGACCAGCCCGCAAGCGCCTTCGCCAACGACGACGCCTCTTCTGTAGCACACCTCAATAAGAAAGAATACACGAACGGAAAAGAAGAAGAGACTCGGTTGTGTGTGTGTGTGTGATAATACAGGGTGAATAAGACGTGAAACGCTTTTCCTACGAGGGAGGACAATGCCTGTTCTTTCTGCGAGCGCGCACCGAACTAAAGAGTGGTCCTTCTTACGCAAGGCGCGCGAAGTCCCCAAGGCCGCGTCCGGAGCCCGCCCCTGTTGTACTTGATATAGGCTCGTCGGGGATGCACACTTAAAGACACGGCCGTTCAATCAGCCCGTCCTCTCCGCTCTCCTAAAGGGCAGTGCCGGCAAGTACAGACACGTCTCTGGAATCCGCTCGGCCTTTGTAGCTTGCCTCGTTTATCTGCGAACAAGCCGAATTCTTGAAGAAAAAAAAACGCAAGCCGACAGCTGGAGTGCCAATACGTATCGTGTTCCTTCTCCTACGCGCATCCGATTGGTTTCCTGATGTGGTTACCGTGGCAACGGCTCCGGTATCGAGCTATCCGAAGTCACGCAAGACGAAAAAAAAAAAAATGCCGGTTAACAGGAATGCGCGAGACGAGACTAGAGGCACCTGACGGATGCTATTCGACAAGGACCAACCCGTCGGGGAGCTACATCCCAATTCGCCTTTCTCGAGGTGCCACGACACATGCGCAGTTCTCTGGTGGGAAAGTCACGAAATGCTGCGGTAGGGCCTCTGCACGTCTTTCGATCTCGGAGGCTTTCGTTCTGGTTATAGCTTGGTTGTCCCGGTTCAACCCTGCAATACTTCACCTCCCTGCCGTTACAGAGGGCAAATCAAGAAAATTGAAAACAATCGGACGATATATTTAGAGAGATGCTATCAACAAACAGTCTGGTGCAGTTTTCAGTGGAGAACCGACAAAAACTGCAGTAGGAGAATCCTGCAGGAGTTGGTGTATTGCCGTACGCAGGCTAATGTTGCAGAGCGTTGCGCCAATCAAGGTGGCGTGATGATAAAGAGGCACAGAATGGAACACCAACCCTTATCGCGCGTCGGCAGGGCAAACAAGGCAATGAACGCGCGAACACGTGGCAGCACAAATAGGGACAATGATGACGCTATAGACGCGCGGCTGTTAAGTGATGGCCTCTATCAGATTACAAGGCGAACGCCTCGTCTAAGCCGGACCTCCGCTAACAGCTGATGTCAAAAGACAACTAGGAAAACAAATGGGCGCAAGAGGAACAGAGCCGCTCAGCAAACAGTGAGCTGTTTGTACAAAGACAGCTACGAAACAATACACTCTTTAATTGTCGTGAGTGTCGTTCTTCGCCTTCCGGTTCGGTTGTTATAATTTGGTGCGCCCTTACACTGGAATATGAACAGATACAAACTCGTCCAAATTGCAATCTTATAACGCTGTTTGAATTAGCATAAAGCGGTGCAAGGGCTAAAACAGGCAGGGATTGCGCGTACCACTGCTGTGCCTGTTCAAGCAAGAAAGTGAAGCAGGGACTCGAACAAGTATAAGAACGTTCAAACGAGAAGGCGTCAGAGACAAACAGCTCTTTTGTGGAAACACCGTGCCGTCACCGTTGTCAATTCAAGAGGTGGGGTACGAGTACAAGGCGCTAAACTCGCTTATCGGCGCTCTCTCTTTCCGGGACGTCCCAGCCCAAGCAAAAACGGCAACATATAATAACGTAGGCTAAGCGTTCTCGTCCCCAGCTGTACGACGACTACGTACACAATTCTTTCTAAACGCTGTCCCCCTCGATCGCCGGAGGTGGCAATTACGGCTCCGGGAGGCGCAGTGACCCTAATGAGGGAAAAAGAAATCGTCGCCTATACGCTAATTAAAACAAAAAAACAGTGTCATGAAGAAAGCCTAAGCTAACGTCACGAGACGGTGGGGGACACAGCCAACGTGTCGTCCCTCCGATTCCGAGAAGTCAGCACTTCGCCTGACGTCGAAGGCTGTCGTGCGGGGAAGTTAATCGCACGTGCGAAACCCGATATCGCTTTCTATGGGGCTGAATTTGAACACAGCGGGGATCTCCAAAGTCTTTATCGTGAATCAAGGTCAGGGCTTACGAAGACGTGATTGGAGCTCGGAGTGCTGCCCTAATTATCGCGTTAACGCACGAGACGGAAACTGTAAGCTTGTTTCTTGAGCCTCTGTTGACTGAACGACTCACGTGAGCTCTCCCTCTCTGCAGGCTAGCGAGTAAAGTCACGTGGTTAGAACAGTCCAATGGCTCAAACAACAAGTACAGCTGTCAGAATATCACGCCTGGTGCTCACTCATGATTGGGCAAAATCTCGATGGAACAAGTCAGTCTTGATAGAACATGTCGCGCGGTTAAAAAAAAAACAGCCAGACAAACGGAATTGGAAAACAACAACTGTCGAAAGATCACTGCTCGCGTGCGCATAAAAAATGAGCGAAATGCGCGTCTCCCCAACAACCGTTGCGACAGTACCGCGTTCGTACAATCAGCGGAGTCCTTTGGAAACCGGCCAAACCTGGACAACCTTGCAGACGAGAATACGAGAAACGAGGGTATACCTGGCGGTGTCGACTTGGAACACCGCTGCCGCAGAAAATGCACCGCCGTCTTCACTTACAGAAGCGGTGATGCGCAGTAAATAATTCAAACGCAACCCTTCTTCACTTGAGCGAAAATGCCCGGCGTAAATACAGAATTAGGCACACGAAGCTCGTACAAATGGGTGTCGATCCGAAGCCGACTCCTGGTATGCGTGAGGTCCGGGAATTCCACACGTCGCAAGGACAGAAGAGAGAAATCACCGAATGTCTATACGCATAGCTTCAGCGTGGCACACTACGCAAGAAAAACGGCCGTTCAGATGTACTCAGACCACTAAGAGCGCCGGAATGGCATTGGTGTATAACGCATACAACGATATGTGACGCAAGTCTGGCATGCGCGGACAAGTAAAAGCACCCAAAGAAACACGTTTACTTAGTACACCAAAGCAAGGCCTATATCTCTCAACAGTTCACTAGCAGGAACTGGCGTAACGCAGTTTGTTTACACGTCTCTCCACAATGAATAACATCCGCAGTTGGGCGAGGGGCCGCATTGGTAATGAAAGCAAGACCAAGATCGCTGGGAGCAGAAACTAGGCCTCCTTGCGCCTAGTGCCTCGTAGCAGACGAAGCCCTATAGTGTCGGCTGCTACACACAGGCAAGTGGGAGAGAGAGAGAAACGGGGAAGTATGCAGCAAAGGCTATTGAACAATCAAATGCCTTTCTGCAAATCGTGAGAATGCTTGCGTTTGGACGAGGATCGGGAGAGGAGAAAATAAGCAAGGCCGTACGAAAAGGCAATTACGACCACGTCTTTTTTTCGGCAAGCGTACACGCTTTGTCCACCAATACGTCAGTCACGGAATGACCAGCCCCGGTAAATTGTACAATTGCAGGGGCGGGGCACACCACCGTATATGGTATAAGAGCGCGCGAGTCGCACGGATCTCCTTCTCTCCCAGCCCTATGTACCACGTGACTATGCACTTTGTTATATTGCCTTTTGATTTCTCCAGGCCGAAATGACCACCCGTTCCTTTGTGCGTTTATCCTATGCGGACGCGCAAACCTTCGGCAATCACGGAAGACGCACAAACGATAACCACATACAAAGAAACGCGGCAACAAAAGCGAAAAGCAGAAGCATTGGTGTCGTCATGCAACGACTGCGCGACCGTTCTTCCGAAAGTCGACGCTATAGGAGCGACAACAATGGAGGCTTGTTCGGAAAGTTTCGAAATCGATAGCAAAATTGGGGGGGGGGGGGGGGGTGACACTCGGCGAAAACGGAGTAATCCTCTACCCGCGCGAGCTAGCTGTGACTACGACGCCACTTACGTAACCACGTGAGTCAGCTGATTTTGCTGAGTCGCCGTAACTGTGACGCTTAGTTACGCACGCGTGAATCACGAAAGGATAGGGAAAGTGCTCAGAAAGACACGCCCGCTAAAAAAAAAAGGGCGGCTACTTGCTTCACTATAAAGTTGACGACTTCTATTGACGCGTCCCTTCTTGAAGCCGCGCGAAGGTGATTCACTAGGTGGCCATAAAGTTACGAAAATGCGAGCGAGACGCCGATAGAGGAAAATATGCAATTCTAAGAACGGATAAAGTATTCTACAGTGCGTACTTTTAGCACAAGACTCTCCCGTCAGTTCGGCGTATGACGAGTCCACGATGGCACCTGGCGGGACCGTTGTTAACAGTGACCGACAAAAATCTATGACGTCATCAAATCTGCGTCAGCGTGCTCGTAGCTAAAACCGGCTCCTTTTCGAATCTGAACAATCGGCTGCTGGAGTTCACGCCACAGTTCGTGACTTGTTTTGATGACAAATTGAAAATTACGTACGCTACAAGACCCTTTTGTTGTTTCGCTGTTTTCAAGATAACGGGCTCCCTAAATTGAAGCGAACAACTTGCATGCAAATCAAATCTGCCCGCGTGCAAACTGCTGTCAATCGCGTTGCTTGCACAGAACCTCACAAGTGCTTGAAAAAAGTCAAAGATATCTGGAATCAAAACAAAGCCTAGAGATTCGAAACCTCGGCTAACGCGAACACAAAAAGGCTGCGTTTACCGTACGGGCTTGATCAACGTCACACACCACTAACACAAGGCGGGGAAAAAAAAAAAGGGGGGGGGGGGGGGGGGGCAGGGGAGAGACTCTTAGTTGCTCATGCTAATAGCGCTGAAAGAACAACTAGAGACCCAAAACACCTGCAAAGCTGAGCTCTGACGTATTCGCAAGTGAAATTCCTCCGGGGGATTTGCAACGTAAAAATATCGGGAAAGCCTTGCACTGATGGCATTCGCAAAGAATCCGACACGCGAAAGGCTGGCAAGAGCAAGCACTCGATCGGGTCTCGCAGAAAATAACAAGTTTCACTTCTTCGAATAAGTCGCAAAACAAATACGAGTTGTTCCAACGAAGCGAGGCAGGCTTCAGAGGCGCTCTTGCACAAGACCTGCGTGAAGTTCGAAAACAGCCTTCGTTCGTTTTAGTCACGGACGCTGCAGGTATTCAGATGGTCGATAGTGAAACGATTTGCACAGAACAAGTCGAAAGCTTCTTGCCGTTCGAACAGCTTATGTCTTACGGAACGGTTGACGTCTTTTTTTATCTTTTTTTCTCCACACTATACGATGTCTTCAGAGCCGTGTCGCAGCACACAATTATACACACCGGAAAGTGCACACGGCACTTGCACCACACTCCAAATCACGAGGAGTGCTGTAGCATAGCACACTTTGGTAGCAAGACAGAGATCGCGCTAAAGCATCAACACTTCACACATAATCCGGCAGCGACGAAACATACACGAACACGTCAGAGACGATAGCCGGTTGCTGCGCGCATGCGTCGTTGGCACCAAGCAACGTCCGTTGATTGGTTAACACATTCGTGTGCCGCCTCTTCCGCCAGTCGATGACGATTGTCTGCCGGACGTCCGACGAACTTAGTGTGAGTGAGAATATTAGTGTCCTCTGCTCGTCAACCGTCCATTCGAAGCAGACGTGTCGTCAAGTCGTAGCCCCAACTAGGTTGCAGATATAACGCTAATGAGCACGGTGTAGACGAGACGTGAAACAAACGAGGTAAAAAAAAAAATCGATGACGGTATCACGACGACGGCGCGCAGAATAATTGCGCGAGAAAAACAGTTCATGCACCGGTCGACACTTATCCACCACGCATGCGAAGACAGCGCCGCACACAACTTCCTATAGTCGTCGTCTTCGACGTCTACTGTGCTGCCTGCAAACGCGCGCTGCACAACCGCACGGGCGAGAAAGGGTACGAAATGAAAAGGAACAACAAATAAGAGGTGAACACGTGAATGCAGCTAAAACCGAGCGCTAGACCGACGACGGGGCACGCGACACAAAACGTTGCCGCCACCACAACCGATTACGCCCAAACCGGGCATGCCCTTGAAGCCAGCGCTGCAGGCTGCTTATTTTTTTTTACATTTGCTCGGACTTTAGCCTCTTCTTTATTCTTTCCTCTGTTCCCTCTTTCAAGGTGGACTGCAGACGCCCAATGCTTTCTATGTATAGCGTATCACTCGATCCAAGCACTGCCTTGTGCTTTTTTTTCTTTCTTTTTGTAACGTCGCCCACCGTTCAGGCAGTTCCGGCTAACTTCATTTTCATCCATACAAGTTCCTCTACGCCCTCGTTTTTTTTTTTTTTCTTCTAATAATCCCTCATAAGGTATTCTCGTCTCGTCAAGAGCGCATCAGAAATCAGCTTCGTTATAGATAAATGATGTAACTTCTTTTAGTATGCCACACTCGAGCGCGTGCGAACCTCTTGCATCTATATACCCCCGAACCTGGCAGCCTCCCGCTTGACCAGGGCATTCGGAAGATCACTCAAACCGGTATTGAGCGATCTTTCCAGCACGAAACGCTGTCTTCGGAAATTCGCGTCGTACAGAACATAAACCGCTTCGAGGAACTGGAGACCAGTTGAGTAACTACAGGGCAAAAAAAGAAAACAAATTGATACAATTATACTGAACGATTAGCTGTATCTACTCGCTGTCTTGCTGTTTCGGCGTGCATGTGGTTCCTCACACTACAGCGTGAAACAGCGTGAATTAATATACCACCAGCTAGCCCATCAGTGTGTAGTTTCGAACTTCTTGAAACTTGCAACGTGAAAGCCAGAATAAAGTAAATGAGGACAATGCTGCAGAAATAACGCCTCGAGTTTAAACCCTTGACAAAAGGCAAAGTTCTGTATCGTTTACGGGGATCCGAACGGTTATGTACAAACTATTAAACTAAGTAAACAACAGCGTAAGCAAAAAATCGTGCAGTGCGCCACGCTTTCTACGAAATTTTTGTGCCAAATCAGATAAAATAGGTAAACATACGTTTCAATTTTTTTTAACATTTCTCTATCGCAGATGCGGGTAGAGGGAAGGAGGATGGCAAAACGACCTCGATGGCTGTTGCGGCCAAAGGTGATGCCGTCAATACGTCACCGGGAGCCTGGAGGTTAGGCTGTGATTTCGAGTCGAGGCATCTTGGAGCATGACGTCACCTGAAGACAGAGCGCCGCAAGCATTGCACAACGTTCCACTGCCTCCTTAACTCATCGAGATCGAAAATCAAGGCGTACGCCTGAACGAACGACGAAGATCCATCGTCACAACAAGTAAATAGGGTGTCCGACGGAACGTATGTGCAACAGAAAACTACGTCGTGTAATGGAAGCTATCATCGACATCCACTAAAGACACCAAGCTCTTCACGTATACTGGGACACTGGCGGGACACCGCCAAAACACTAGTTCTCTCAACGTTTTTACCGGAGTTCGTGCGAAGCGAGACATTGGAAGAATGCAGTGTTCGCTTCCATAGCGTGCAATAAGAACAACGAAGGAAAAGAACGGCGCGGGTACAGCGCTGACATTGGGATTTGCCTGTGATTTGTGGTTGGCAGGACAGTCAGTTACTGGCCACCCCAACCGATCGCGAAGGTGGCCCAAAGTCTTCCTGTCCCGAATCAACGCACAGTCACAGCACCACAAGGATGTTTACGAAGCAGATGCGAGCTACAGTAAATGGTCTCACCAGACTTCTCTGTCTACTGCCTAAAGAAGCTCGCTTGGCTATGCGGACCATCGCACGAACGCTCCGCAGCCATCAATCAATAAGGACAACGGTACACTTGTCCTCGTATCTGCACGTGACACTTCGAGAGAAAGTCCTTCTAGACCGTGACAGCCCTGTTCTCAGCCAGTAATCCCAAATCGCAACGGTGAATCCTGTAGGCCGCTACATCTGATGTCTGACTTCATGGAAGCACAGCCGTCAGCAACAGATCAAAAGACATCAACAAAACAAATATGGCGGTTCTCACAACATTGCCCTGTCCAGCATGGCTTCCGTTCAACGCTGCCGGGTCCACGAAGAGTCCCGCACTAACGTATCCACGGAAGGCATCTAGAATCACAGTCCACACAATCACAACATCTTGCGTCCAGGTCCGTACTTCGCAGCTGCCTCCGACGTCCCTCCAGCCATACGTGAAGCACCAATGACGTCACACGATTCGCAGAAGACTCCGGCTGAACGCCCCGAAACACAACCCGCGAAGACAGTCCGACGGCTGCATAATCAGCGAAGAAAGGCCGACGTATCGAATCGCCTCGTCGCCGGTGGTGATGGCCCCCTCAAGATTCGAGGTAGGTGAAAAGCGCATGTGCACACACGAGATGCGACGTCCCACGCACACTAATGGACTCATGACACAATGGTCCGAGGGCATACATACGCGAAATTACGTGAGCTTGCATGCATGTAAACACACAGCGCATTAGGCGTGGTTACATTTGGCCGTCTACGTACATATTGGCGCAACAGGGAATGCAGCATAGTGTGGCGCTGTCGCGTGCGAGTAAGTCCTCGACGTTCCAGGAGAAGCAAAAAAGGGTGAGGGTAAAAAGAGTGAAGGGCTGCACGCATCACGGACCGTTGAGCAGATGTTATAAGCTTATTTCTTCTGCTTTTTCTCGCTCGTCCTCCGTGCCCCACTTGCTTGTTTGTCATCTACTCTTTCTTTTTGGACACTTCGCGCTTTCGACAGTGCATCGTTTACAAAGCTACCTCCAGCGACACGCATACAACGTTTGTTTTTTTATTTTTTCTTGATCATCGCAACAATTCGTGCCCCCCCCCCCCCGTCCTGTTTCTTTTATTATTATTCTTACTCTTGCGTGACGCGATCGAGTTCAAAGAAAGCAGACGCCCAAGCACTGACGCTTATCAAACCAGTCCTTGCAAGCGTTTTGACCCCCCCCCCCCAAAAAAAAAGGGGGGGGGGACGTCCTGACGCGGACTCGCCAGCAGGTTGCCGTTGTAAGGTGTTGGAGTCGAAGGAAGGTCGCTGGAGGATACGAAAAACAGAACAGGGTTTATGACATTATTTACACATATTTACAACAAAGAAAGCTTAGGGGTTTCCCAAACCACGAGCGTGGGGGTTGAACGTTACATAGTTCAGAGCGACGTCCAGCACTCTGCGGCGTCGTTCGTTTTAAGCCCTGTTGGGCTCCTCCTCTCCGAGTGGTACACCAATCACACACACACAGGTGAGGGGGGGGGGGGCGAGCATGCACGGTCCACGTGAACACTGCACTGTGGTGGCGCCAGCAGGGCTCTTCCTCGTCGTGTGTGTGCCGCTAGTTGAGAGTTCCCACGATTTGGAAAACGTACATCAAAGGGTCTGCCGCACAGCTCGCCTAATTGGCGGGGTGATTTGCGGTGGCCGCCGCGGTCTCTTCCATGAAGACGCCGTCCCTGTTGTCCTCTTTCGTCGTGGCGTCGCGGCGACAGGACGTCTCAGCCTCCGGCCAGCAGGGACAATGTCTGGCGGGCATAAGCAGTCGGCCGGTCGGCTACTTGACTGAGGATTAAAGAAACGCCGCTCCGCCGTCAGCTCTAGCACCTGTCATGCCAGCCTCCCCGTCGCCCGATGAGTCGCCGAGGCTATTAGTCACCGCTGCTGCTTGAAGGGACGACAAAAGGGTCCGCATTTGAAAGACGGGAACTCGCCTTTACTTGCTGCATTGTCTGGGTAATTACTCAAATCTTCGACAGCGTCTGGCAGACTGGGCGCCGAAGGGATTGAGAGACGAATCTCCAGGCCAAACCTAACACCGTCAAAGCGCAGCCAGAGTTCACTCCTATCGGTGTCGCGATGGGTTGTCGTCAAACTCTAGGCACACAGGTAGTCTAGAAACAGAGGCGTCGCCAAGACTTTTTCATTGGGAGGAGGGAGGACCCCCGGGAAAAGTGAGTTTGTCCAGGAGGCAGGAACTCCGGTAACACATGCATTATCTCTCGACTATATTTGATCTCGTGTGGGGGCATAGGTAACTCGTTGAGATTATCGCAATATTGAAATCCATTCTCGAAACAACGGCTACAGTCACCGTCCCTCTATAGTATTAAAACACGATTACCACAATAATCACATTTGCCATAAGTTCGGGGGAAGATGAAAGCATGAAAAAGGTCATGACAAGGTCAATTGAAATTTTGTAGTTATGCTTGTACAGACGTGAAAAGTAGGTCCCGTAAAATAAAAACTACTTCAGTGCAAGAGAAGCCAGCATAGAACTCACAGGCCGTAAACCCCGACCACCGTTGTGGTGGCTCGCCACCGGCAACCGCCATTTTGCCATGTTGAGTGTGACGTCATGCGCTGGAAGGGTCGCCGTCTTCTACCAAAGTTTCAAGCAGTGCGAATCATTCAGTTTCAGTGCTAAGCTGAAGAAAGCTGAAAGAACCGGAGTTCACGCGCAGCTGACCACGGAATACTGTCGTTGGCCGGAATGCCGATCCTCGCACAGCTATAGTTCCTTCTTACGTCACGGCTTGCGAGTGCGGCAGTATTGTCCGACTATCGGGCTGCTCACGTTTTAGTTCGATTACTAACTAAGTGAGCGACCATATGCGGTAAAACTTCGCCAACTTTTTTTTATTATTATAAGACGTCGCCAATACAGCGTGATTATATCGATTGAGCTCACTGAAAACGATAACGAAGGTCTACCAAGGCCAGCCACAGAATCAGCTCTGTGGCGTGCTTTGTTCTACATGGGGCAGCCTTGTTTAATCACAGGAAACAACTTTCTATGTCTTTATGATAAGATTTACTATCATAACTCGTATCTGTATTCACTGATGACACCGCATCTTTCATATCTGCGCGTCTCGATCATGGTCACAATGTTAGGGTGCACAAGAGTAACACGGTTGCCCACTCGGTGACGGTGATGATGATGATGATGATATGTGGGGTTTAACGTCGCAAAACCGCCATATGATTATGAGAGACGCCGCAGTGGAGGGCTCAGGAAATGCAGACCACCTGGGGTTCTTTAACGTGCAACTAAATCTGAGCGAACGGGCCTACAGCACCATTGCCTTCATCGAAAAGGCAGCCGGCGCAGCCAGGATTCGATCCCGCGACCTGCGCCGGTCAGCAGCCGAGTACCTTAGCCACTAGAACACGGCGGCGGGGCACAGTTACCAATTCACTGTCATTTTTGCATAAGACTGCTAAAGAATGGAACCAGCTTCCCGGGTCTGTGGCAAGCTTCCACGACCTCATACATACGTTTTAAAAATGCCTCAACTAATTAAGCGCCTAGATATATCCGTTGCATAATATACATTTTTTTGTGATACTGCGAGTTGCCTTGTTGCATTTACAGTGTGTTAATGTACTTATGGGCTAATTAGGTTACGTAATACTTGTTGGTGCGTTGCGTAACGTTTGCACGTTCTGTGTTATCATTTTTGCCTATTAATAACTCATACATGTATATATAATAACCCCGCCCATCGGCAAGTGTGCCGTGTTCCTTGAGGAAATAAAACATGAAACATAGAAATCAAATATATTTAGTCCCACACCGACTACAGGAACGACTAACACAATGGTCTTGCACGCGCTTCATTATGAATTCACCGCAGCACGGCAACGTAAAGTGGCGAAGCACACACAACGTGCAGCTGCAGAAAGACGCGAGCATTTGCGCCGATATACTCATTGTAAACAATACGTCACTGTTTGATATACTTTGACGGTACATCTATGGCAACGAAGAAGCCTCAGAAAGGCCGACACTGCAGCTTCTACGGCCCAAGTCAATGGGCCTCCATGGTTTAAATGGTTTTTGATTTCGTACCTTTAGGACAGGTTTATCTGTCCAGTTAGAACTACAGAATGGGTACAAAGGTATGGGAAACACCATATCAAGACGACATACAGTTGGGCGGGACGATGAAATGGAAATATTTCCAGGCATTCAACGGAACCAGCTCTCGCAAGACAGTATAAATAGAAAACGATTGACACTCAGACCTTTCTCTAGAAGGGGAGAGAAGATTATGATGATTATTTCGCTTTCACCACCCCGCTGTCCCTTTCAGTGCCCTGGATACCTCACGCAAGCACCTTAGTTATATCTGAAGTATTTTCCGGGCGCATCCAATCACCGGTATGTTTGTCGATTTCGCATCAGAAGTGGTTTGTTTACGCGCAATACGCGTCTGCACTTCGGTGAAACTCAGTGAGAAGCATCCGCAATAATAAAACGCACAGAAGACCCCTTAACAACAGCAAGATCTCCCTCCTAAGAAAATCGAAATTAGCCGCCACAGCCGACAACGCACCGCTCCAAGAGCGAAGTAAAGAATGGTGGCGCCACCTACCGCTACCGACCAGAGACGCGTGGCAAGCTCGAACGAGCGGGCGGGAATTCCTCCGCCATCCGAAACAGCGACTATGTCGCCCCTTCGCTCGTACCTGGGGCACAGCAGCCAATGATTAATTCCGCATAAAGATTGGAAACTAATCACAATTTCATTTCCGAATGCAATACACTACGGTTACGCAAGGTGCCGATGTGGGAAACTTCGGTTTCAAGATCACCGCCTTAGGGTTATTTATTTGATATGATGAATGGGAGGTAAATCTTTATCAATTGCCCGGCAGATTAACGGCCCGGCTCAGGTCGTGGGGTGAAAACGTGCCGGCATGCTTCTATAAGCACGGTACAGTCAGGGGCGGATCCAGCGACTCATTTTAGGGGCGGGGGGGGGGGGGAGCGGTCATTTAAAGTAACACTGAAGAGGGGGGCGTGGTCGCTACTTTTTTTGTTTTTACTAGCACAAGAACTCTATAAAAGCAGAAATACTATTCATGTGTGCTCAAAGGGATCCCACTAATTTGTCCTAATTGGTGATAGCAGGTGGACGGTGAGCCCCGAAGAGAGGGGGAGGGGGTACTGCAAGGCATTGGGGGGGGGGCATCACCCCTTGCCCCCTCCCCCCCCCCTGGATCAGCCACTGGGTACAGAAGGGTGTCAAAAGGAGGGTGGAAGGCAGGTTCAGGCTGTGATTTGATAAGCTGAGAACCAATTATACATGGCACAATCACGACGATCAGTTCGCGCACGTACTTTTCTCATTTTGCCAATAGGAGCGACTGGATATCTTTTTTTTTTTTAATACGGGATAAAGTCTTGCGCAGTCGCACGGCCCTCTAGTGCGTTTCGGCGGAGCTACTTGCGCATGCTGCTGTAAACTATGCAAAGAGGTCTAGTTGGCATGCCTAAAGTTATATGGTGGCATGCTGAGAGCGTCACATCTTATAATGTGACTGACTTGCCTC